CAAGCCAAGAATACACTGCTGGACTTTTTATAATCCTTTCCGTAATTCAACAGACAGTGAAGACGGTCAGCCAGCTATTGATACACAATAATACACTCTGGATTATTTAACAAGTCTCAATAAGTAACATTTCTATAAAACAAAACATTTAGTATAAATTTGATCTTAAAGATGATTTACACTATCTGTAAATCCCAACTTACCCTTGCTTGCAACACTTTTATCTTTCATAGTATGACATGTACATTATTAACGTAAACTTATCTAAAAATACTTATTAACGATACATTAATTAATAACCTTTCAACCTTTACTCTGTGAGAGGTCACGACACCCAAGGTATCATGTCATGTCAGAAATGTCTTCCACGTCCTCATAACCCCCGAGGATTTTGTAAAGTTGGCAAGTATGCATAAACAAAAGTCTCGCACATGGATTTGTTTGCTTCAAATAATATCCTATATCTACTCAGGTCTGTGTTTCAATTTGGCTAATTTAAACTTCAACATTATATTTACATATCAATGCCTAAATGTAAACGAAAAGGATATACATATATGATTATGCTGAAATAACATTTCAAACAAATATAATTTCTAAATTTCAAGTTCAGCAATTTTGTTTGTGACGTTAAAATATTTCCTAATTTGACACAAAAGGCAGTGAAAAATCATATCTGTCACTCATACATTCTTAATTGCGAATGTCATTATAACACTACATGAAAATTATATTACATTTAATGGGGGAGAGTTGGGGTTATATCTGACAGGCAGCAAGTCCGTGCTTGGTACCACGCTCATCCATTCACATCTGTTGCAGTAGTAATGCCAACATATGCTGTGCTGTTGTTTTGTAATAAGCCCACAACCTACTATGAAGCTGTGTGATCCCTCACCCTCATTCTTGATGTAGAATCAATATGATATAAATATCATTCTGGCTACAATCCTTCTTCCAGCAATAAATAACATGGTTTCAAAATTACAAAAAAAAATAAAAACCAACAAAACGTAATGCTGGTCGACTAGAATGTCCAATACATTACACAAAGGGAAGGACGGAGGATGTGTAGTGATGTAAAACTTATTCATTACATTAAATGCATATCATATCTACTATAAGTACTTGTATTTTTCTCCTTCCAACAATTAAAAAGGAAATGTTTACTTTTATTTATTGACAAAAATGGTTGCAAAAGTTATGAAATTCTAAACCTATAAGTTCAACTTAAAACGTTTGAATTTGGTCACTTTAGAAAAAGGATAATTACAAAGCAAAAATTTAGGTTTGCATTTGAATTTGAAAAATTTGAAAAACAAGGTTTGGATCAACCATACTTATAAACTTTTACTTAATAGATGACAATCTAGTTTCAGGTTTATGTTAGATATTACACTTGAATGTATATAATGAAACAGGATCTCAAATGAGTTTCATTTCGTAAGATTTTGTCAAATGTCTTTTAAGTTCTTATTTTTGTGGGACTTGGAAAAATAACTTCTCATATGAAATGAAAACAAATTTCAGATCATTTTTATCACTTCACACAGAAATTTTACAATTTCACAGGTTTTAAACTAAAAATGGGGAGGACAAAACCAAACCATGGTAACCATTTCTAATTCACAACACAATGTCATTGTCCATATATGACATTCCATTTGATTTCTGAGTGGTTTGAGCAGCTAATGAAAAATGCTACAGGGTACATTACATTTGTGACTATACATAAAATTTGTTTGAGGTTTGAATCATATTTACTATCATATAATTCAACAGTGTCTAGTCTTTATCATTCCACTAATTTTCCTGAATCATAGCAAAGGTCAAACCCTGGAAAGAAAAATAGTCTAAAGGAAGACAACTAAATGCTAATGCAAAAACTGTTCCTTTGAAGTCAAAATTCAATAACTTCATTTCAGTTTTAAAATAATTACATGATATATATTTTGTGATGAGTTACAGTTGAAATCTGTCCGTAAGCTTTTATCCATGAGTCTACATTAAAAGATAATAAAACACTATCAATTGTTAACTCATCAACTGTATCATCCTCATTACCCGCAGATTACTATAACGCTATCTAAATGCTATGGGTATATACTTTAATACAAGTACATACCCAAAGTATTCATACAATAATGTATTTCATTAAATACAAGACAAAAACACAGACCTTTATCTATACACGTATAAGCAGATCTTAATGGATGGCAAGATATTATCGAAATTCATTAATAATTTTCAAAAATCCTATCAGTCATAACATTTTAGCATTGTGAAATAGCATTCTCGTTATTGAATTTAATGGTTAAAAGTCATCAAATTAAATGAGAAGTCTTCTGTATTACTATATTTGAGATAGTGCATATTCATAAAAAAATAGGTTAAAACTGTCACTTGGCTGTAACACCTCTGGACTATACCAATATATTTCAGCAATACATACCTACTTATAACTTCATTAATAAAAAGGAGCATATCTACAAAGCATTACAGGCTAGTCAAAAGATAAAGTTCAACCAACATAGCACCAAATCAATTAAAAGATTGTAAACTGATAGTGTTACATATTTAGGGAAATTCATCATCAAATTTAATCAAGACAACAATAAATGCTTAAAGCTGAAACTGAACACATTTTCCTTTAAATACATCATAATTATCACGACAAAAAAATCCATTTTATTTTGATTAAAACCATTGAAATTTCAGATATTTACATAAAGGTTCTGTTAGAAATATAGTGACCCTTTGCCTTAGAATTTTCAGTCATAAAAGACGTCTACCATGCTAAGTGGAAGCAAATTCTCATTCTTCAAATTCTTCAGTATTGATCAAATGATCATATCAAATGATAAATAACTTTATGTGAAAGAATCTAGCTTTAAAGTCAAAATTTATCTCAGTACCTTCTACCACTGACAGATAGTAGGATCAACAACATCTGATAACAATACATCATAATACAATCAAGTCAATTAGATATATTTCTTTCTTGATATGTTACAGAAGAAATTTCAGTCATAACTTTATCGGAGTGTTTTAAAACATCACTTTCCAATTTTAAACTATATTCATTGTATGTACTTACTTCCCTTTGTTCTCTCTCAATATGTAAATTGCACCCCAAGTTAAGACTAGAGACAAGTTTACATTTTGTTTCATAGAACATTATGTGTCTATAGATAATTAGGTACAGTTAAATGATTCAACATACACTGCTTCTAAAAAAAACCCAAAAATGAGCTGGTTAATGTGCAACATAAACCCATATATAACTTAACAAAGAGATCCCAGAGGGATCTTGGAACCCACCATTGTTTGATCTTTATTTGCTCTTTTCCCTTCTTTTCTCTTCTCTTCTCTGTTTTTACTCTTTATGGTATGAAATTTGAACCATTACTTTTCAGAAATAGTGATGGTAATCTTTAACTGCCAAATCCAAGACAGTTGCCTGGAAACCACTTTTTTTTCTTATCATTCCCAAAATCAAACGGACACAACTAAAGACTAAAGATAACCTACATTTGAAATTTGAGAAAGATCCATCCAGAACCTGTTAAGAAACAACAATAACAAAACAGACGGACAGACCACCTACCACTGAGGTAGGGTAATTTGAATAGTCCCCACCTGATGATGGTGACCACCTACCACTGATGTAGGGTGATCTGAATAGTCCCCACCTGATGATGGTGACCACCTACCAGTGATGTAGGGTGATTTGAATAGTCCCCACCTGATGATGGTGACCACCTACCACCGATGTAGGGTGATTTGAATAGTCCCCACCTGATGATGGTGACCACCTACCACTGATGTAGGGTGATCTGAATAGTCCCCACCTGATGATGGTGACCACCTACCAGTGATGTAGGGTGATTTGAATAGTCCCCACCTGATGATGGTGACCACCTACCACCGATGTAGGGTGATTTGAATAGTCCCCGTCTGATGATGGTGACCACCTACCACCGATGTAGGGTGATTTGAATAGTCCCCACCTGATGATGGTGACCACCTACCACTGATGTAGGGTGATTTGAATAGTCCCCGTCTGATGATGGTGAACTAAAAATAAACGTTGATCAATCTGTTTTTATCACTTAACAAATTGGTTTAGATTTCTTATAATAATATCACATTTATGAGACTGTAATTAATCAGCAATCATAAAATTTTAACAAGTACATACTGGCAAATTCAAGAAAAATATCAAATTAATGAATTTAAAATAATTACTGTATTTGACCTTACTGTCACATCAGAGACTTCCATTTCTTCTAATGCTGACCTATTTTGGCTTTTAAAACCCTGAATTCACATAAAAAAACAATGGTTTTATACAGCACATCCTCTTGAGCTTTACTGTGCATTGGAAACTGATTAGGTGGAATAAGGTGTGTGACATATTAAATTGGTCATACCTACATGTCAAGTTGGCAAAATCATTACAGTCACAACAACTTTCGAGTGTGTTTCTTCAATCTATTATAATCTTCATCAACATGTTTCGCCATTATCGGGCTTCATCAGGGCAAATCTACATCAATTTCTATCCCAGTAAGTATAAAGTTTACAGACGCAACATTTCCAACATGACATAGTTATTTACAGTTGGACGTCATAATAGTAATTATTTGTAGAAATGTTGTCCCCCCACCCCCCCACCAATTTTTATACTTTAAGTGATAAAAATTGATGAAGATTTATCCTGATGAAGCCTGATAAGGGTGAAACATGTCGATGAAGATCATAATAAATTGTAAAAACATACCTGGAAGCTGTTGTGGTTGTTTACCAAGTGTTGATCTACCCTACGACACAACCGCCCTGCAAACCTTCGGGTATCCAACCAAAGAGTGAAGGAAAGCTAGAGCCGCCTTCTTTAAATTACAGCATTGGTTCCACCCTGTGTATCTTTGTAAAATGATAATTATGAATGACTAGTTAAATTGTAGCAACTTAAAACTCCACCCTAGAGCTATCGTGTATTATACGACAATAACACCTGCTCCATTCATTTGTGACGACTCTTTATCAGGGGCTTGGTGTAACTCTATATCCACGTTGAGCTCCTCTTCCTCTGGTTTCTTTTTCTCCATCGCCCATGGCTGAAGTTCTCCACTTCCAAAAAGAATAAATATCAATGCTCCACATACATACATACCACATGCCACAAAGAAGACAATCTGCCACTGAGATCGCATGTCCAGACCCTCCTACAAAAAAGTTACAAAAACTGTCAATTTTGTAGCTTACATTTATAAAGATAAAAAAGATATTGATATAATCTTAAAGAATAACTATTTTCTTCACCAAATTCTTTCTAATTCAAAGACTCCAAGCAGAAGAATTCAATTCAATTTTTCCCTAAACTATAGAATTCTAAACAGATTAAAAATCAATGACCACATAAGTGGTGTGAATTTTTAAGCATGATTTCAGTTATCATATAGAGTACTGTTATCTTCACTGTTTTCCCTTCTTCTGTATTCTTCGAAAGGAAGAATGATGCAGTTCAAATCACCTAACTTATCAACAAACAGCATTTGTAACAAGGATTGTCTTCAAACAAACAGAATAATTATCAACACCAAACGTAAAATGAAATTCTAAGGGTATGTATTAGTTTGACTACAGCTGTACTGATATGGTAAAATACTTACACTATACAATACTACAGGAGGATATGATTTTGGGTAATCAGCCATAACAGCTTTCAGAATTCTACATAAGTATTGAAATAGCTCAATATCTTTGGTGAATTGATGATGAAGATATATTGCTGTACATAGGATCAACAAAGTACCAAGCACATACAAATGAAGGGAGGTAACTCAAAACTTATGACAGTAACCCACCATTTTCCTTATTGCAGCAACAACTTGCTGGCTAACAAATCCAGTGACAGAAGCAATCGAGTTGGATATTCCAAATAGAATGCCGGCGTAAAGGGGAGCAATGTCTACATGGTTGACCAGCCAGCCACTGTACTGGAAACCGCTCAGTCCTACAGCGAGGGTCAACAGGGCTATCGCAAGCATTGGAGAGCTACAGTCCACATATCCCAGGCCAATCAGCATAAGCGCAGGCATAATCATACCTGTAGACAGGATTATAATATACAGTTAATGAATGGAAGAGATGTTTAGGCCTGCTGCCAAGAAGAATTCATGACCATCCATGACTAAATCCTATCATGATCAAACAGATTTTAACTATTTAGCAGACATAATTTTACTCAAAAACATAAATGCATTATGCTTTAAAAAATTACTTCAGTCTTTTTACTGCTTACCAAAAGTGTTGATGGACTTCCTTGTAATAGTTACTGTAAAGTATTTCCTCATCATGAAGTCGGCTAACCATCCACCAATGTTAATTGTTGCCCAGAAAACAACATATGGAAGAGCAGAGTATAAGCCATTCTGAAACATCAATACCACAATACCATTGACAATATGTGTATATTAATCACTTAACCATTAACCAAAATACATGTTATTGATAATTACGCCTTTTCAAATATTTTGTCAAATGAAAGAAAGGAAATAATTCAGACATACTGATAATTTCCTTAATTTTTAATCTCTTAGGTGTTTTCTTTGTTACAACTCCTATGAGGTCTGTACATTGATTTCATCTATATCTTTCTGGATCTTCATGCAACCTTATCCTAGAAATGATATATACAAATCTGTCCCACAATTTAAATGTCATTTTATAAAGAAGGCTAGACTTTGAAAGTTAAACATTTAATGTGATTGATGTAGAACAGAATTCTTAGATGTAAAACAAATCTTACCGTGGTGATGTCAAACTTGAGCACCTCCTTCAGGTATAACGGGATATTGGCGAGCAGGGTGTAAGCTCCCCAATCAGACATCACGTTGACAATGATTATGGCAATAACAGGGCCAGAAGTGAGAAATTTAAGCCAGGGAATATCTACCTTCTGAAACACAGAAATAAATATACAATGTTAACAGCCAGATCTGCAATACACAATGTCATATATATTTTGTATGTGTGCATTGCATCAGAAAAGTCTCCCTTGACCACACAGATGCAAATTTGTGAAATACGTAAACTTATAGTTTAAATGATGCTTTTATTTCTGTCTTGGTGGGAACAAATACAGAGCTAAACACAAAGTGTAAACAAAAGCCTCAATCTGCAGGATGACCACTGAAAAGTCACGATCACACTTGTCAAGATCTTAATTATTCTTTTATAGGTTTCACTTCAAAGCACATAAAACTAACTGTAATTGCAAATCATTTACATTTTTTCATTGCAGCTTATGTAAAATTCAGTTTTGTTTTTTCATTGTAACTTAATATAACTCTCGAAGGTGTGTATTTTATGTTCATTTCATGTTTCTAATTGATTGACTGTAATTTTTAATACTAGTGACGAAGTTCTATCTATCTATTTGTATCACTGGTATGTACTCACCTCGTCTGATGATTCCTTGTGTTTAGATTTGGCCAGAGCATAAACTATGTAATCTCTTTCCTCCTTAGTGATACCTTTATGTTCACTCGGACTGTCACTGGCCAGGAAACACCATATCATCACCCACAGGACATTCACCATCCCTACCCATACAAATAATACACAGAATATTCACCATCCCTACCCATACAAACAATACACAGGATATTCACAATCCCTACCCATACAAATAATACACAGAATATTCACCATCCCTACCCATACAAACAATACACAGGATATTCTCCATCCCTACCCATACAAACAATACACAGTGAGTTATGAATAACTAGACAAAATCTACCACAGATGATGAAAAATAACCACTTCTATCGTATTTGGGTAGAAAATACAATGAAAAACACCCATGTATCTCTGACCTATTTTTTCATTAATTTTGGTTTCTGATAACACCAAGTGAGTTCAAAGACAAATAAATCAGTAAAGATCTTACCCAATACATAAAATATGGATGGCCAACCTCCATCAAATCCATATTTACACAGCATACCAGATAGTGGATAGGTTATCACATTTCCTAGCTGTGCACCTGGAATAACATAGATTTATATTTAGCATGTTTTACAGGCCATAATGGCTTTAAAACTCAACAACAGTTCTTCAATATCACTTTTTCTGAAAATCTTCAGTTTGTTTTCATTTTCCTTTTTTGTTATGAAAGGAAGACTGTATCGGAGTTGTGTAACTATCAGTAGAGCTAAATCATTTTGCTATAATCCTCAAGGCAACAAGCTTACAGTTAATGGTGCAAGCAACACATGTCCCCTGACAAAATATGCCATAATTAGCATCAGAAATAGATTATTGATAGAAGTACATTCTTCTTCACAGAAGTTGTCATCATGGAAACGAATGTGTGTGATAAATGTCTTTTTTCAGGCATTGTCAATGACTATTATTGTAACTGTAGATATTTTGAAATAATAATTCAGCAATGGATATCTTAGTCTAATGCCAGCAACCCAAACACAATCATAATCTCCACCTGATCACAAACTAACATCAATTACATCGTATCAAGTTTTATCAATATCAGTCAGCAATGAGCCAGGTTTTCATATGAAAACTAAAAAATATTTTTGGCGACATTGAACATACTTGACATTTTGACTCCAAATACAATCCCATTCTCATACTGGTGTTTGAAATGACTTGATTTTGAAATTTGGAATTGAAATGGATAATTATGTAACAGGAAAACCATTGATGGTCATGTAGAGGTTAATAACGGTTGTTTCTATCATGTTCAACCGCATTGGTCATCCCTAGCTCAAGTTATCATCTGGAAACCAGAAGTCTATTTTTAGCAATAGTGACCTTCATGGTTGACCTTTTGACCACAAGCACAATCCCACACTAGGTCTCCTACTAACCTAACATTGTATCAAGTTTCAACCTAATAAGTCATCCATTAATCAAGTTATCATCTGGAAACTGGACAGACAGCCATACAGGCAGACAGACAAACAACGACAAACACTTTAGTCCCCTCCAGTTTCATCATCAGGGTACTAAAAAATCATCCATCAATCAAAACATTAAAATGTGAATATATATAATAACCTGCATATGTGAATGCTGTTAATTTACTTCGTTCCAGAGGTGGAGCCCAGCTTCCCCAGAGTGCATGCATTGCTGGAAATGACACTCCCTGCACAAAAACAAATTGTAGATTAGTATGCAACATTCAGTAATCCTATGATGTACCATATGACAGAGATTAGCTCATACTTTCTCAAATATCTCCAGGGTCTTATTTTTTCCCTTTCACATATTAACCCTCTTTCCATTAATTAAATCTGAGTTTGAATTGGAGAACTGTTTACATTTTGTATGGTTATGAAAGAGTATAAAGAATTCGTGTGGCTGAACCTAGAACCTAAATTCAGTATTTTATCTGTATGTGTACTGCTTTTGACACACTTACGGAACATATTCCAAGGATGATACGCAGCACAATCAGGAATATATAGCTTGTCCGGGCAGCAACAGGAGTGGCAAAAGTCGCTATGGATGCTGCCAACATGCTCAGACCAAAGACTCTCTTTCCTCCAAATCGTGTTGCTACCCAGCCCCCTGGGATCTGTGTTACTAAATAGCCCCAGAAAAAGGCACCCAGTACAGAGCCCTGCACATCTTCATGCCATACAAACTCGCCATCCTATGAAAAAAAATTAAAAGTTTTAACCATCACTATTTTTACATTCTTGAACAAGTCAGCATGTTATTTTAAGATTTCTATTTACAAAAGCTTCAATGAATATTTATTTGCATATATGCATAAAATAATACACATTACATTAAAAACAGATGGAGGAACCTATCTGTGCTTTCACATTTTCAAATTTTCAAATTTATTTCTTTAAAATGATGGTGTTTATAGAATATCACTTCTGTAGTAACAATTACTAATAATACATCCTATTCTATATTCTTCTTTCCCATTGAATTTCATAACTTCCACCTTATGTAATGATAAAGAATGTCAATTTAGCACTGTATGCTGTTACAGAAAATCAAAGAAAATACAATATCTTACTTGAAAACTTTAAAATTTGATTTTGTATAAGCATAGCATAGTTATATTGCCTTTTCATGTGGTGTATTTGTCTGTTTTATTACATAATTATAAAAAAACTTTCCCAATAGCTCTTATTTCAGAAAAAATGGTTGTTTATGATGATAAAGACTTGGTGAAGAAGGGGAATAATGTAGAAGCACTAATCTTTATAGTTCAGGTTACCTTATCAACGTTTAGCAACTACATCTGTATGTCTACCTTGAAGGCAAGTGTCCCAACAGCAAGGAAGGATAATTTTCATTTACCTCAAACTGTTGTTTACTGGTAAGATTGGATCCAGCTGACACAAGGCCACAGCTGCTGGATATCAACTTTTCTGTACTGTCATTTGAAGTATTTCCCTTGCTTTCATGTATTGCTGTCCAGTTTACCATACACACAACAGCTACACTCATATTGGCTCTTAATGTGTAAACATTGATAAACCCAAAAAATCCCAGCACTGCTAGCTGTAGGCGTTTGGAGGTCCACCATGGTACTGTAAGGCAAGAGAGTATAATAATGGACAAATCGTAACTACATTTACATTTGTATATGAATTAAATTAGAATTTTCGTAAAACACAAAAAACTGAGGAATATTGGATCATATTCCACCTACAATGTATATATATAGCTCGTCTAAAACTTGTCTGATCCGAAAAGTTTCAAATAACCACTCTCCAGACAAGGTTAAGTATACAATGATTATGCAAGGTGCATGAAAATGCAATGAAAATAGACAGATTAAAAGAAATAAGTGTAGGTGCAACAAAACTTCAGTGGGATGGTGAATACATCTGCGGTGTCTAGAAGAATTTTGATGAAAACTTTAAGATGAGCTTTCTGACTACAGTCCACAGACAGAAAATCTGATTCGCATCTACCTATAGTCCTATATTACATGCCTTCGAAAGGCAATAATAAAACCAAATATTTCATATTTCTACTATTACAAATTTGCATCTGTAAAACCCAAAAATAAGATAAATATTAAATATCCAATTATATATCAAATTACATGTATATTCTCTATTTGGCCTGAACAGTCTATACACATTGTGAACGTCAAGTCTGACAACTCTTCCCCCCTAAAATGGAATCAGCGGTTTAGCTATTTCATCAGTTGTTTGGCTGTTCTGTCAGTGTATATAATGTCCAATGAATGATAAAATTATTTATAAAAGTAGTATAAATAAAAAGAAATAACTGTCAACATTTAAATTTATGTATGAAATTATTTTTCTGTTTTGTTGTTTACTAGAGTGTGTAGCCTGCATTTGTCTTTTCTTTAGACATTTCAACATAACGCACTAACAAGCGCGGCTTAAAATATCGATATGACCATGAAACAACGAAAAAGAAAAATTGTTTCTAAAAATTGTTTAATAAATCGTGATATGAACCCTCCCTGGTATATATAACAAGAGTGGGCTAGACTTTGTCGTTATTCTCTGTCTATGTTGATTACGATATGAGCCCTCCGTGGTATATATTATAGGACTGGGCTAGACCTTGTCATTATTCTCTGTCTATGTTGATTACGATATGAGCCCTCCGTGGTATATATTATAGGACTGGGCTAGACCTTGTCATTATTCTCTGTTTGTGTTGATTACGATATGAGCCCTCCATGGTATATATTATAGGACTGGGCTAGACCTTGTCATTATTCTCTGTTTGTGTTGATTACGATATGAGCCCTCCGTGGTATATATTATAGGACTGGGCTAGACCTTGTCATTATTCTCTGTCTATGTTGATTACGATATGAGCCCTCCGTGGTATATGTTATAGGACTGGGCTAGACCTTGTCATTATTCTCTGTCTATGTTGATTACGATATGAGCCCTCCGTGGTATATGTTACAGGACTGGGCTAGACCTTGTCATTATTCTCTGTCTATGTTGATTACGATATGAGCCCTCCGTGGTATATATTATAGGACTGGGCTAGACCTTGTCATTATTCTCTGTCTATGTTGATTACGATATGAACTCTCCCTGGTATATATTATAGGACTGGGCTAGACCTTGTCATTATTCTCTGTCTATGTTGATTACGATATGAGCCCTCCGTGGTATATATTATAGGACTGGGCTAGACCTTGTCATTATTCTCTGTTTGTGTTGCGTTGTAATGGCCTTTTCAAACGACTGAATTTTGAAGGCAAATGAAAATATATATGCATCCTATATGACAATGCCTTAACGCTATAAAAGTCATATGAAAACAGCTAAATGATTAAACAAAGTAGGGTCATACTGTTTTAAATCGTATAGTTGACTGTTTTCTTCAACTTATTATATTTCGGTTTCACTCAGTTTACAGAGCTGAGAGGACATACTGCGAACTCCACCGCATCCTGCCGATTATACCGAATAATAAATCTTATGGCGGAACTCCATAAACAGTTAAACTCCCGTTAACGGTTTGGCGAGCAGAGTCTTACCTTTCTCTGGGTCAAATTGCATTTCAGTATCTTCACCACTTCCCACCCGATATTCTGTTTTGGTCATATTCACTGTTTAGTATCGGTCGCTATGTTATGTTTTACACGTGAACAAGATGACGAGACCGTGACGAAACAACCGGTGTCTGTTTACTAAATGCCTGTACACGTGGCGGGATATTCTGGACGTTTTAACGATGATATCAAAATTTCAACTTCATTGTGTGAGAAAAAACATAAGCAATGATCTGTCCGATGAGAACTGTGGTCATAAACAGTCTGAAATAACGGTTAAAAAGTCAATGGCAAAGTAACGGCAAAAAACAACCACAGGTGGCCTCTGTACACAAACATTGGATGATGAAATCAAGATCGCTTCTGAATGTGCGGTTGAAATGATTGAAACAGGCTCAAAAAAGAATAGGAGTTGATGGGACATTAAAAGATGTGCCCTGAGAGTGTGAACACGGAATGCATTTTTTTAATTGTTGTTGTAAATTTTCTGTAAAATTAAGAATTTGAACATTTTGAGCTGTAATGTAAATTAATGGATCCTTTGTTTAACCTGATTTATTCTGAATATGAACCTCCTGGATCGTTCCAGCCATCTTATATGCAAGCAGCTCAAGTAACAATAGATTACGGAATGCGTCAATAAAAGCGGAACGAACTAAACCCAGACCAGGACAACGGTGTCAAATAATGTTTACAAATAAGAAAAAACAAATCATCTAGCTAATTCAAAATGCGAAAAATACATAAAACAAAAAACAGACGGCAGGGACCGGGATATATGGTAGGCCGTGCTGACAAGGTCACGCAACATGGCTTAAACGTAACGGACAACTCTCCTCTGGATATTTATTATTTTTCATATGTGTCTAAAAGATTTTGACCTTTTTAACACATATCTTGTAAAATAGTGCATACATATATCTGAGTTTTAAATCAAATTATTATCTAAATCGATATTTTTCTGAATATTGTCATTCTATTATCTCTTATGATTATCAATAATAAGACGGTGTTGCCCTTCGCACAACCTACAGACTGATCCATTCACAAGAGCTCACTGAGTTTCAGTGACTTTCAATATTTGGTTAAAAGATTTATCGAGCTAGTATCGCATATAGTACATCGTATATCATTATATTCAACATACCAAGAAAATCACGGACTTGTTGCTTGAAAATTAAGAACAGGAACTGATGTTGCAACAACCAAACATTACATAAATAAATTGACTCATTGACTGCTATTTATAAATGTAAGTCATAAATCATAGTGGGAAATAAAATGTAGGAATTTAATGAATTCGAGAATAGTCATGTACTATGTATTTATGTTGACTGGAAGCATTGCCACAGTAGAGAAAAGGTCTTTTTAAAGATGCTGCGGTATATTAATTTCTAATTATTGTCCTTCTTTCCCTTAGTGTAATGGGTTAACGGTAGATGTTGTAGATCCCTTCCGATTCCAATCTTTGATCAAGAGTTTTCATTGTTATTTTTCAAATTTTCATTACTACAGTAGTAATTAATTGTTCCGTTCAAATGTATTTTCAAATTCTAGATCTTCTCGCAGTTTTATTTATTCTAAACCAAATCCAGAGGTGTCTTTATCATACGCCTCTGGTCAAATCTGTTGATTTCTTCGTACATATAGGACAGAGTCAGACGATGAGAAATTAGCCAATAAAAGAGATGGCTATAGTTCACACCTGTCCAGGTAAACTATTAATAACTGACCATATGCACTCATATGTTAAAATGTGATGTTTTTATTGAACAGATATTGTTTAACTGAATTGTAACACTCTTTGAAGGTGGACATTTTTTGTTTGTGATTTTGAACATGTATATTTATGCTATCATGGATTTAAATTCAAATGAGGCCGATATGTCAGATGTGTAACAAATATGTGGGCTACAACAGATACCTATATAACAAAACTGATAAAATCACTCATCCATGACCGACTCCATTCAACATGTGTGCTCACGTGCCTACGACCCGACAAGCGATAAGGGGACGTAACCCATGCTACCCCGTAGAAATAAATGCAAATGAACCAAAAAGTTTCAAAATCTCATTATATTTCATCGTGAAAATATTGCCAAGTAACCTGTTAATTTAAACAAGAATACCTCTCGACCGGTTGGTTTTATTAGCTGCATTGAATTTTAAGTGAAACTATGTACCATGTATGCAAATAAATGCATACCAACACAGGCTACATTATCGGACCGATGTGAGAAATTACACAAAATGGAAGATGTTGGGCTTGTCTCTGCTCCAAAAATAGGTCTTCAAGTGTCCCTATGTCCTTACCCAAGATACCAGTTAGCTACAGTACAGCCAAATAATGACTTCACTTTACAACAGCTTCGCTCTTAGTCTTCTAGTCAGTGATATTAAGGGGGTTACAATTTTAAAGCCTAAGAGGCTATTTAGGCAAATCCAAAGCGATCGTAAGACACTGGACGATTGTCCCTTGTGTTAAATTTCTAATGTAAATTATATCAGCTTAAATCATAAGTTTAAGAGATAAACAGGATTCAATCCTTCTGTCAGTTTTTTTCTTTTATTGGGGGTATTTTTTTCTTTTGTAAGTGTCGTTAACTAGTTGCCAGTTGCTGTTTGCTATCTACTTACGCTATTTACCATATCTGTTCGTCAGTTATATTTTATTTATGTATCTATTTCATCTAGTATTTATTACTGACATATCAATACCGATTATGCAAATATCGTTATTTTATTTGTAATATAAATATCGTTAGTTGGCAAATTATTTGATCGTTAAACAGTGGAGTAAAAGTTGTTTTTTACGAGAGTCCTTTCAATATCAGCTGATTTGCTTCTTCCAATTTTCCTTTTACACTTAAGCATATTTACAAATACAAATATAGTTTCAACTTTCTTCCAATATTGAGTAAAATAGACATTGAATTGTACACTAAGAATCACAGAAACAACCACAGGGACTTTGCACAAATTCCCAACCCACGATCCACATATGAATCCGTGCCAAGTCCCCGTGGAAATAAGTATGCATAGAAAATAGGCAAAGTCAGAACAAAATGTCAAACAGGGATACACAGTATATTTAAATGATAAAGAACAATAAACATTTTCATTAATCGTTAATAGAAAGCCACCTATATGTGGCATGTCGATCCAGGTGTTCCATAGTAATTAAAACAGCTTTTGCATGCAATGAAATTCTTCTTATCTAGATCGAACATATCATTGATAAAATGCAGTAAGAACACCGCTAGTGTATTAAAACCGATAAGAATTCTCTACCCTACTAGCCCGTGTTATCGCACTTATCGCTATATCCTCTGGCAGACTGACACGAGCAGTAACTCTTGGAGATTATATAGCTTGTATTCACTTATTTTGTTTTTCATTCCCAGTCAACAAACCATGTAAATTATTTACAAACATGAATTTTTATTCCCATTTGATGCAAGGAAAACTAGATGTTTGGGTTTCTGGATTAACCTATTAAATATCAACCACAGGGATTTGGAATACACGACCCACGGTTCATATATATGTGTATATATATATATGTATTATAGTCACTTTATATGGACCGTGGATCGAGAATTCGTGCCAAATCACTGTGATTTCAATCATACAAAATTTAGTAATAGTGACGAGCCTCGTTTGTGTTCTTATATCAGTTACAGATTGAAGCTATTTTATTGAAATGAGTCGCTGCAATTATCATAACTGGCAATGGTCGTTATATAGGGGATTAATCGACCATTGACTTTACAAGTCCCAATAGTTAATAAATTTACGATGATCATCTTCAGTGTTTTGTTATTGACACTAAGAACCGTTTTTATCATCGTTATTATTATCTTCAAATACTGTAGTAGTTAGAATAAGATACAGTTAAGCTAAATAATTAATAAAACTGCACCTTACAATTGTTTGGCTATTGCAGCCGTTGTTTCCAAAGACACACAATAAAGTGACACCTTTCAATACAAATTGAGGACTTGCCAGTCATGTTTAAGGGTCTAAAGTAATTTGTGAGGCGACAGAGGGAAATTTCAAATGATCGAAAAAAATATTTTTAAAAATCTGATGCACTCCAGCCACAAAGTTAAATGAATCTACATTTTAGTTCAAAAATTCTATTCTCAAGAGCCTTCTCAGTTTCTTTCTCTTATGGATAACATGGATGATGATATTGAAACCTGGCATAATTCTTCTCGTTCTCGATGAAGGAACGCTGTTAATCGAAGTTCGCTGTGTTGATCTTGAGTTGGTCAGAACCATTCACCAGTTCTTCATTATGCAGAATTGATATTTAGACACCGTTTCCATCTCACCTTTATCCATCGATATAATTAGCCTATTTGGATATAATACTTCGATGTAGTCACACGTTTCTATATGAGTTATGTCCCTTTAAGTGCTTTTTAAATGTCACTGAAATTTATCAGTAAAAGTGTTATTGAAACCACGTGCTTCAGCAAGGGTGGCATTTTAACTAAAGAGAGATGAATATTGTTAGTTGTTCCCAGCAACTAACCCAATGCTCAGATTGCGAACTAAGACATTTGAAATAAATGAATGCGTAGTAGATATATCCGAAGACATTTATGTTATGGATATTCAAAAGTCATTTACTACTGAGGTACCCAGGAAGTGGAACTTTCGAGGAAATTGGTGATCAGTATCATTAAGTTAAAATGATCATAGGTTTTGTTTTGTACAAGCCAGAGTTTGGCACGTAGAGACCGTCCAATCATCCCTGTGAGAGTCTATTTTTATCCGTTATCTTCTGTTTCGTTTGTAGTGGTCCTATGGGTTTGTAGACATGAGATGTCCAACCATCAGCTCTCTGAACCATTTTTACTTCTGGTTATGTTAATACATTGACTACACTTCGAGAATTTGCATTATATTAGTATAACATGCATGCATATGTGACTTTATACGTGTTCAGTTTCAACTCTCAAGTCTGTAAAGTCTTATTTTTTGTGTTATATGCATGTCACTTTTTTTAAAAGATATCGGCTAACTTTACTCTCCAGACT